AGAGTCACAAATATATTTTTACAAAGGAAATCACCATCATCTGAATGATTCCTTTTAAACTTTTTGTTTTTACTTCAGAGCCACATGTGCATACCCAAAGAGCCCCATATTGCTTGAGAGTTGCAGTTTGCCAACCTCTGCCCTAGGCATTGGTGAGCTGACATGGACTGGCAGTGCCCATTTAGAAATGAGCCAGCATATGGCTTACTTCTCTGAGAAAGACAAACTGAAGAAATGTGGCATCACAGCCATGGTCAAAGAGAAGATGTATCCTAAAGTACAATGCTGTCAGTAATAGGATACTATCCTTATGCCTACAAGGAAAAATCATGAATACAACTAATATTCAAATTTACACACTAAACACCAATGCCATAGGTGAAGAAATTGAAGATTGTTATCAACTTCTTCCTTCCGTCTGAAATAGGTCAACCAAGCAATTAACGTGAACTGATAACCATTGGTGAATACGTGGAATGAGAAAGCTGAAAACAAAGAAGGGTCACCAGGTGGTGTGGGAGATAGAAACAAACTGGAGATGACATGATAGAATTTCGCAAGATCAGTTACTTCCTTCACTGTCTTTTCAACAACATAAACAGTTACTTCACCAGATTGGATCCACGGGAATCAACTAAAATACATTTGAAAAAAGCGATGATTAAAGAACTCCGTGTCATCAATTAGAACCAGATCTGTGGATGTCTGCAGAATAGACCATCAATTACTCATGTGCAAGTTCAAGTTGAAGAAAATGAAAACAAGTCTACCAAGTATAACCTTGAGTATATCGCATTTGAATTTAGAGACCATCTCAAGAGTACAGTTGACTCGTTACATGTCAATGAATGACTAAAGACAAGAGCTGTGGAATACCATCCAGAGCATCCTACATGAAGAAAGCAAACGTGATTACAAAGACAGGAGAGAAAGCAGAAGTACACAATGGGTAACAGAAGAGACTCTGAAACATGCTCTTGAGTGTAGAATGGTAACACCAAGGGAAGAGAGGATGGTGCGCAAGGACTGAACAGATTTGGAAGGAGAGCTCAAAAAAAATTTATAACAAAATGTGCAAAGACCAGGAATTAGAAGATCAAACACTAAACATTTATCAAGCTGAAAGAGATGAAAAATAAAAATAATAAAGCCCTGAGTTGCAATCCTGAAGGATTATCTGGGTAAATATCGAACACTGGAGAAAGTCTTAAAA